CGTGCGCTGAGCCGGCCGGGCCAGGGCGAGGGAGCGGCCGTGGGCTGCTTTCCCAGCTGCACGAGGACGGGGGCTTGTTTAGAGCTGCTCTGCTCAAGTGCGGGCAGGGCCGTGGACGGGTCTCGGGCTCTGCCTCCATTCCCCCCTCCTCTGGGTACGGGGGGGGGGGGAAAGGAGAACACAGCTTGGGCCCATCTCCTGAGTATCCTGGGCCCCTGCGCTGTCTGGGAGACCCCGGACTGTCCCAGGTGGCCTAACCTGGGCCACTTGCCTTAATTTTATGGAGCCCGCCTGCCCCATGTCACACACCAGACCCAGATTCATCCAGACAGGCTGTGGTTAGTCCTGCTGCTGGCCCCATGGAGGCTGCTCGGAGGACCTGGGGCAGAGCCTGACAGTGGAGGGGAGACCTAGCTGCCACCCCAGGTGAGGCACCACCTGGGGCTTTCTGGTGGCTGCCCCAGGATGCCACCAGGAAGTACCACTCCTGCCCATGTTGACCCTGGGCTTCCCATGAGGAGCTGGGCACCGGACTGGCTGCTCTGTCACCGTTCCCTCAGCTGTGTGCTCCTGGGGCCACTCCCCGCCGGAGGGTCACTACCTATGTGCCTTCTGCTGCCCCCAGGTCCAGGGAAGAGCCACACCTTAGCTTCCTGGCGGGAGGCATTGAGCTGAAGACCAAGCACCACAGTGGCATCCCACATCCAGACAAGCTTGTCAGAACGCAAGCACAGGACTGGCCGCAGCCCCACAGGCCCACCTGGCTCAGAAGGGGACATGCCAGTGGGCAAGGCACTGAGGGTGTCTTGCCAGTTCCTGGTGGGGTGGCAAAAGGGCAGTGCCAGGACCCAGCTCTGGGAGGCATGGCTGCTGGAGCCTCAGACTCGTGACCTGAAACCCCCTAAAATTGGTCATCTAAGCAGGGGTGATGGACCCAGCTGGCCCACCTCACCCAAGGCCATGCCCAACCCAAGGGACTGGGGAGCAGAGAATTTGTGGGCCTTGGGTGCTCAGCAGGTGAAGGAATTAGAGGAGGCAGCCAGGACCACGCCCAGCCTCGGCCCGGAATTTCAGATGCTGCCCAGGGAGGGTTTTACTACAAAAGAAAGTTAATTTCGTAAAGACGAGTCTATTGTAGCTAAGTGATACAGTACTTAATAAAATATTAGCCTGAAGTTAAATGCACTTTCTCGAAGGGAAATATTTACCCCCCGATATTCAAGCCTTGGGAGCAGGTGGAGAAGCCATCTTAAAAATAGCAGCAGGGCACCCACTTCCACAAGGACGAAAAGGCAGCAGGTGCTGTAAGAACCTCCTCTGACTTCCTAGCTGGGTGGGGGTTTCAGAAGCCCATTCCCGGGGGTCCCGGGCGCGTTGTGGTCGAGGGGGCTGCGGCCGGCGTCCCGGGGGCCGAGGTCGGCAGGTAGGTCCCGGCCTCCATCCCGTGCTTCCGCCTGTGTCCTGTGGGGGCTGCTGCCCCGGCTCCCGGGGGCTAAGCGCCGTGTTGCTGCTGCACCCAAAACGCTTTTAGCAAAACGGTCCGTACGAGCCCCTCCAAAGCACAGGAGCCCGGCCGGGCTGTCGAGTGGTTAGAGCCGCGCCCGATACCCCAGGTTGCCGGGTGGATGCCCAGCCGGGACACCAGCCACCGAGGGGCGCATCAGCCAGGGGTTCTCTCGCCCTCTCCCTCCTTAAAATCAATAAGTGAAAAAGCTAAACACAAGAGGCGGGGCCGGTTCCTGCGTCCTGAATGGCTGCTTCTCACACGCCCGGGCCCTGCCT